GGTCAACGGCGGCGACCGACGGTCTCTGGTGGTGGCGGGTCAAAATTGGAGCCTAAATTGAAATTAGGATTAAAATTGGTTAATTGATGAAATTGGGGTGTAAATCATAAAATTGGAGTTGGATTTGATTTCAATGAATTGGGGTAATTTTGGTATATATAAGGGGATTTTTCTTATTTGTAAATAAGTTTAAATGAGCTGGATTTATTAGAAAGACAAAAAAGTTGAATGTCCATCTTTTAATTAAGTGCCCTTGTCATGGACCTATTTGTCATTTGGCCTTTAGTGAATATAAAAATGAACCTGCACATGGGAGGAAGATGCAAATCACAGCATCATTTACCAACCTATTTTTCTAAACAATTATCTTTCATTTTAAATTCCAATCATTAAGGCCGTGGGTGTACGAACCCATATCGCAACCGCTCGCTTACACGTAAAAACACACACACCCACATTGGTGCGTGTCGATAAATAACAAAAAAAAAAAAAAAACACCCGTTTACACATTTTACCGGGTGTAGCATAGAGAAAACGAGGACTTGAATGAATCATCGACATTAATAAATGTAATTTCGTAAATAAGACGACCTCTAAATGTTGTACCTCTATCTAATTCCGAAAAGTTAGGGCTTATTTTATAATTAAAGGAAAATGGGCGGAAAGAATGGGTGCATGAAGCAATATTTTAAAAATTATTGGGATAATATAATAATAAAAAGGGCTTATCAGGGGTGGAAACATAATTACCCTAAAATGTTAGGGCTTATTTTATAATCAAAGGAAAATGGGGTGAAAATGGGTGCAACAAGCAATATTTTACAAATTGACTGGTGTATAATATAATAATAAAAAGGGCTTATCAGGGGTGGAAATGTAATTATCCGAAAATGTTTGGGCTGATTTTATAATTAAAGGAAAATAGGAGGAAAGCATGGGTGCAGCAACAATATTTTAAAAAATAGTGGGGAGAATCTAATTAAAAAAAAGGGCTTATCAGGGATGGAAATCTAATTACCCGAAAATGTTAAGGTTGATTTTATAATTAAAGTAAAATGGGAGGAAAGATTGGGTACAACAAGCCATATTTTAAAAATTGACTAGTGTATAATATAATAATAAAAATAGCTTATGAGGGGTGGAAATGTAATTATCCGAAAATACTAGGGATGATTTTATAATTAAAGGAAAATGGGATGAAATAATGGGAATGGGAGAAAAAAAAATGGGTGCAACAAGCAATAATTTATAAATTGACAGGTGTATAACATAATAATAATAAAAAAAAAAGGCTTGCAAACGGTGGTAATCTAATTACCCGAAAATGTTAGGGCTGATTTTATAATTAAAGGAAAATGGGAGGAAAGAATGGGTACAACGAGCCATATTTTAAAAATTGACTGGTGTATAATATAATAATAAAAATAGCTTATGAGGGGTGGAAATGTAATTATCTGAAAATGTTAGGGATGATTTTATAATTAAAGGAAAATGGGAGGAAATAATGGGAATGGGAGAAAAAAATTGGGTGCAACAAGCAATAATATAACATAATAAAAAAGGGCTTGCAAATGGTGGTAATCTAATTATCACCGTTAGGGCTGATTTTATCATTAAAGGAAAACGGGCGAAAAGAATGGGTGCATCAAGCAATATTTTAAAAATTATTGGGATAGTATAATAAGAAGAAGGGCTTATCAGGGGTGGAAATGTAATTACCCTAAAATGTTAGGACTGATTTTGTAATTAAAGGAAAATGGGGGAAAGAATGGGTGCACCAAGCAATATTTTAAAAATTACCGGAGGATTATATAATAATAAAAAGGGAGGGGAAGTAATGTAATTATCCGAAAATGTTAGGCCTGATTTTATAATTAAAGGAAAATGGAAGGAAAGAACGGATGCAGCAATCAATATTTTAAAAATTACTTAGGGCTAATATAATAATAAAAAGGGCTTGCAAGGGGTGGAAATGTAATTATCCGAAAATGTTACGGGTGGTTTTATAATTAAAGGAAAATGGGAGGAAGGAATGGGTGCAACAAGCAATATTTTAAAAATTGATAGGTGTATAATACAATAATAAAAAAAGCCTTACAAGGGGCGGTAATGTGATTATCCGATAATGTTAGGGCTGATTTTATAATTAAAGAAAAATGGGAGGAAAGAATGGGTGCAACAAGCAACATTATAAAAATTACTGCGGGATAATATAATAATAAAAAGGGCTTATCAGAGGTGGAAGTATAATTACCCAAAAATGTTAGGGCTGATTTATGGTTGGTTTGAACCATAAATCCTCATTGACATTCATAATATTTTATATCTCAGGGTCGTAATTGATGTCTAACTTAGTAATACACATTACACACACACACACACACACATATATATACACATAAAAATATAGTTTGTAGTAGTGGGGTAGCAAGTTATTTATATAATATTGTTTGATAATCTAATGGATTAAAATTAGCAGTTGAAGCTATAAGAAAACTATTTTATGAAATCGTAAATAATATATGAAGGGCTTGAGGCTTACAAATTGTGAAATATCAATGTACGCGTGAAAATCGTGAAGGAGCTCTTTCTTGCTGACACCTCAAACAAAATTCCCTTCTCAGAAATACGAGGCTTTGAAATGTTCTCACGGTTTTCCTGTATAAAGACAACCAAAAGAATTAAAGCAATGTGTCCTGGAAAGAAAATCATAAAATGATACTATCATCACTTTTCCAATATAACAAAGGTAAATACGGAATAAATAACTTCGGTATGGGCGTACAAATAAAGAGCTACGAGAATGGCAAACCAATTTATATTCGACGGAAATATATCTACAAATAAATTTTGGATTATCACCTTTGGATGGAGTCTACAAGTATTTGTACCATGCCTAACAGTTTTAGCGCCTATTCATAATATCGTTTTATTTTATTTTTGCATTGCACATAAATGCAATATCGGTACATGTTTCGTTTGAGGTTGTCTGGATTTTTGGTTACTTGTGAGGGTGTAAATTTTACATACTATGAACTGTGATATATGTAATATTACAAACTCATTACGGAAACAATATATGGTATGCCTTGTGCAATCTTTGCTAGTCTAATTTACTACTATCTAACTCCCTGAGATTTTAATGAAGCATTTTATAATTGAAGAAATTATTATTCAATATGTTTTCAAATTTCTATTGAGTTCTAGAAATTGTTAGGGTTGTGCATGGATCGGTTTTAACCACCAATCAACCCATTTTCGACCCATAATTTGTGATGGATAATCAACTATCAACCGACCCATTTAAGTTGGGTCGATAATGCCAACCAACCCATGTATAGTTGGGTCGATAATGGTTTCTAATATGCTAAAAAGTTGGTTTGTCGGGTAATATCGGCCAACCAACTTTATTTATTAATTTATTATTTATTAATTATAATTAAAATGTTTAATATTTTTAATTTCAAAATTCTATTTTATATCACATTTATTAAATTGTCTAATATTGACCAAAATCCTAAAAGCAATAAATCTAACATAATTATCTAATTTGAACTATTTTAATTTAGGGTAAATTACAAATACCCCCCTGAGGTATGGTTAAATTACAAAAAAACCCCTCTTGTTTGGATAATTACATCTACCCCCCTCAACTATGATTTTTTCTTACCTTTATGGTGCCAAATTCAACATAGTCATCTAGATTCCGTGAAATATGCTCTAGTTTGTACTCTTTGTGTAAAAAATACAGTTTTCGATGCACCACAAACTGATATATACAAGCTAAAAATCACATATTATGGTCATCTTGCTTCATAATGTAGAGTTTGAATGGGATAAAACGGGTACAAAAGTGATAATATTCCATATAATCTCGAAGATTCCACTAAATTTGATGAGTTGATGGGGGTGGTTGTAATTATCCAAACAAGAGGGGTGTTTTTGTAATTTGGTCATACCTCAGGGGGTGTTTGTAATTTACCCTTTAATTTAAGACATATAGCCTAAATATTTAAACGATTATTATTTGTTGAACTATATATGTTTAATTACAATATATATGCCCGTAATGTTTTGAACCTTTTATTTGAATATTGTTAAACTAATCACATTTAATTTATAAATGATAAAGCGTTCTAACAACTATAATAAAATATTAAAATAAATTAAAAAAAAATATATTTAGATTGATGACCCATCAACCAAACCACCAACCGACCCACTAAATTGGTTTTCAACCATCACCCAACCCATGTAAATTGGGTCGATAACGGTTTCCAATATTTATCAAAGTTGGTTGGATGGGTTGGGTTGGTTTATGGCTGGTTTTTAACCAAACCAACCAACGGTCAGCCCTACAAATCGTATCTAAGTTTAATTTGATTAGCAATCGCGGGTCGAGTTCAAAAGAAATCTCCACAGTCCGACTTTGTAAAAATACTTAACTACAGTCGAGTTGAACTCTATATATGCCGAATGAGATCTTATCTTCAAATTTGATGATAAAAAAAAATATACGAACTTTTAATCATCAATCTTGAATTGAGTACCGAATAGTTCAATTTGACTTTCAACATAATTATAAGTTTACGTAAACACGAACTTTTTCGAAATCTGATTAATGTCGATTGAATCAAAAAATCAAGAGATGCAAACGCATGGACGTCAGAGATCCTTGGAGCAGAAAATAAAATAAGATGGGAGAAGTAGGTCAAATTTTATAATTTATAATTAGTAGGAAAAAGATTAACCAAACAAATATTCTTGATATTTTATTTATAAATAAATAAATAAATAAGGCACGTTAGGAGGACTTGAATGAAGCAAGTCATTCAAGTTCGTTTACACATTTTACCGGGTGTAGCATAGAGAAAACGAGGACTTGAATGAAGCATCGACATTAATAAATGTAATTTCGTAAATAAGACGACCTCTAGATGTTGTACCTCTATCTGGTGGACCCGAAAAAAGAAGTGCTTGCTGGAGCTGGAAAAACATTGTTCAGCAAAAGCAAAAGCAAAAAAGATCTGCTCTTAAGTATCTAAATTTTCCATGTTCGATGTTTCAGACAAATGGAAATCTAATTTTACGATACAATGTACGAAAGAAACTATGATTTGACAAAGCGATAATTATAACAAAAATTTACTCGTTGAGTTGTGAGTTATTACAATATATAAATTATATATTAAAAAAAAAGGGATTGTTAATTGCAGAGCATTCTTTTGCACAACAATGGTTAGTTGCATAATGGTAATCAATCTACTACCTCCACCTTTTGTTGTGTCCCGATCCAATTTGATACTCACCACCCGAAACTAATGCAATGATCGAACCTGAACCACATCCAACAAAACGAAGTATTAACAAAGTACAATCTTTAAAACACGGAGCCTCTTTCCTCCGAGATCCTTAAAAACCTGCGATGGCAGCGTGTAATATTAAAAATGAATGCTAGCAAAAAAAAACAATATTGAAGAATCAAATAGGGGATATAAAATACGGCAAGAAATGTTGAGAACGGAAAATATTTATATCGTTGACTCCAATGTAGTTGAAATCGAGATCTAAATCGTAAAATCGTAAGACTTTAAGATTTTAGACACTGAAAAGGAGTAAGATCGCACTAAAATCGCAGGTGTAAAATCGTGTGAAATCGCGTTCAATATCGTTAAAATCGTTAAAAACGCGATTTTAGTGCGATGATTTTGCTTTTTGTCAACAATTGGGCTGAAATTTTGGATTTTGGCCTCATAAATTCAGTTTTTTAACTAAATTTTTTTAGCCAATTACCAAATAATCCAGAATATATAAAGCTCAACCCTGCCCTAAAATAACAATCTATCACGACGAGAAGAAAATACTTCTCTTCTGCTAAAAAAACATCCAGCGGTTGTGAGTGTCAGTTTCAGTTATCTTATGTTAGACTATGTTTAATTAATGTTGGAATGTTTTATATTTTTTAGGACATTTTATGTATATTATGACTTATTTTATTTGTGTTACGGGTGTTTTCTAAGTAGTAAGTACTAAATATATTTATTTTACAATACATGTAAAATTGTAAATCTTACAATTTTACGATCCGATTTTACGTTTCCGATTTTACTACCCCTCTCCGATTTCACTTAAAATCTCGATTTTGACTGCCTTGGTTGACTCATCATTGGCTAAAATTGATTTTAAACCACCGTTAAAAAGTAAGGCAGTGTAAAATTAATGGAACAACATTGAAAAAGTACATTAATCGTGATTAGTAAGACTCGTTGACAAGCTACAAAAGAACCAAGTACCTGTGTAGTTTACGCTCAACTAAGTTTGCAGACCTTCTCCATCTACATTTTTCGTTTTTCTAGTGGTACTGGATCGAATGAAAATTAATTCAGTACGTTGGTCAAATGCAAATAGCATGCAATACAGTTTAGATAGATAAAGTTGGCAAAAAGTAAGTACCTATCGGATTGAGTCCATTTGTCCAAATTTTTATTCATCCATCGAGCGCATCCAGTACGGTCATCGGCAATTGATCCCACTATGTGAAGTATATCTTCGTCGAAGCTAGAACAAGAATGCCGGAAAGCGAGTTCACAAAAACTATTAACATATTATCATTTTTAAAAACCTGAAATTAACTAACAATGTCGGAATTCAAAGTGTAGGGCTCGATAATATCAGTTCATTGTCCGGGCATAAGATCAATCATGTATACAAAAGGGAAAGCTATTTCACCTCTTCACGACGAAGCGTAGAATAGTCCCGACTTTGATCTTATGTTTCTTATCAGATTTACTGACGTATTCTTCCTTCCCACTTTTCTGCAACCAAATGACCAGACACAAAACAAACACTGATTAAAAACTTCTCAAACCTCGATTATACACGACGAATCATTTTCAAGATCGACAAACACTTACAATTTTATGCTTGAATTCGTCACGAATGTCTTCGTCTCCGATAAAAACAGAAGAAAACCCAAGAACCACAGCATGAATTGACTGTGGAGTAATTTTAACCACCTCTCCCTCTGCCATGTAAATGGGGAAAATCAATAAATTTCAAAAAAAAAATCGATATTAAAAAATAATTAAAAAAAAAAAATACCAAGGAGCATGTTAGGCTTGGGATTGAAGAGCAACAATCTAGCTTTCAAACTAACGCCAAAATGAGGATGAATTCCAGGTAAAACTTTTCCCAAGTTACTACGAATATTCGGATCATAAGCTAACACAACTCCTCCAAAAGTTTCACTGTACCTATAAGAATGAATAAAAAGACGCAATTTTTGGAATTATCCATTATTACCATGGAATCAAACACAATAGCGTACGAACGAACGAACGAATTGTTAAATGTCCAAAAAAACTTACGTGAAGAGCAGAGAGCTGAGCTCGCTGAATATGGCTTCGCTCGCGGATTTAGCCTTCGACGGGTGCAAATGCACGACCAAATTTGCCTCGCATTCTTTCAAACCCTCCATCAATTTCCAAAATGAACAGAAATTCTAGGGTTTTCCCTTGTTGTGTTCAATTCGAGCTCGAGATTTGGGGTTTTAGGGCTGCAATTGGAAAATGATGAAACCCGTCAAAAACCCTAATTTTGTTTCAGTTTGCTACTGGGTTTGGGTCAATATATTGTGCCCAATTCAGATTTTCAATAAACAAATATATGGACTTGGCCCCATCAATCGATTATTATTTGGTGTTGAAATATATATATATATATATATATATATATATATATATATATATATATTGTGCGCATTCGTTTTTCACCTTCACTAAGTGTTTTACATTTGGGGAAATTAGCTCCTCCTTTCTTAGAAATATTATTTATAGCTAAAAAGGAGCCCAAAAATTCAAAATAAACTCAATAAATTTCTTATTCTAAATTTAAATCCTTAATTTTAAATTCATGACCCCCTGTAAAGTTTATTACATGATTTAGATATTAAAAAAAGCGTCGAAATTTGTGAAAATTATCGAATTCATAACACTAGTTGTTTCCACAAATACCAAAAAGCTGGACAAGGAAGAGGTTTATATGAGACTGGAGAGTAGACGACAATTACCAAACGAAATAATTCGGTTTTGGATACATTGGAAAAAGGAAAATCAAGACTTGGCTGTTTTTAACAATGCCCAATTAATTTACCAGATATGTCGATGGTTCAACTAACGACCAACAACGCCAAATACTTTTCGTTTTAACCAATTGCGAAATTGGAAAAACCCCCAAATTTTAACCCATTTCTTGAAACCTTTATTAATTAAACTCAACCCTAAATTTCAGATTCGTGGATTTAGTGAACCGTGACTCCCAGTTAGATAAATTTCAATAAATCGAATCAACATTCAAGAATCACTATCATCAAACCAATCATCAATACATACATAAACACAGACAGACTAGATAAATTATTACACACAATATATATTAAATTGCGAAGCTGGAAGTGAAACATCGTACCTTTTTTCTCTGATCGGACTGCATATTTTATCCAAAAAGCATCTAAGAGACGAATCTATACTAAAACTCAGCAAGATTCGATCACCCACCAAAAACCCCCAAATTTTTAATTGGATTGGAAAATGAAGTGGACTTCAGAAATATAAATAAAATAAAATAAAATAAAAAAGACAAAATTGTGAAGAAATCCCAGATGATATTTTATTTGAGGGAAAAGGGCGGTGGCGGTGGCTGGCGGTTGTGTGAGAGAAAGTGAGGGCGGAGACGGTGGAAGGTTTTGAGGGTTTAGGCTGCTTTTGAATTTGGCATTAATTCTTTTTTATTTATGTTTTTTTTTTCTTTTTTCGGTATTCTATGTCTAAATAAACAACGGGAAATTAGTGATAACCCATAGTTTCGAAAATATATATGATGAGCCCAATAAATATATCTACCCTAGTTGAAAACTCAAATTTTGAACTTAATTAGTGAGACCCTTAGACATCTTAAAGTACATGTTTTACCCTTTTTATTTTAATTCGATACATAAAACTCTCCTAGCCCCAGCCTTCCACACGTATCAGTCCACCCGTTACAACTTCATTAATGCAGCTCCGCCACCGCCTTGATAAAAAACACACTGATTTGTTTTTTTGTTAATTTTTAATTAATGCGCTCAATTCATTAATGGAAGTTTTTCGTCTGCTGTATTTGATTTGCGTTGGTTTGCTACTGGGTGTGTGTTTTGGCGCGGATCCCTTCACCAACTTCGAATTGGATATCTCTTACATCACTGCTTCTCCTCTTGGTGTTCCTCAACACGTGAAATAATTATTTCTTCATTTTTCCAATTTTTCAATTTTCATCAGTTCACTGTGTGTTTGTGTGTGTGTTTTTTGTTTTTGTTTTGGTTATTGGTGAAGTTAGGATTTATCGAACTTGATTCTGTTTTTGATTTGTGCAGATTTGTGACTTCTCAAATTTGTAAATTTATTTTTGATTATGGATAAACTATAGCAATAAATTCTATATAGATTTTATTCTATTCCGTTTCGGTTTCGATTTCGATTACGATTTACATTAATTATACAGTTCTCATATCTGGTGTTATTCCAAACTAGTATTTTTCTTTGTTCCTTGTTATTTGATAATTCATTTTTATTTATTTATTTAATATTTGTATCAAATTATAATTATACAATTTTCATTGGCATTATGCGATAATTGATGAAGCACAAAGACTTAAAAACCCCTCCAGTGTATGTTTACTGATCATACATTTATCTAATTCTAGAATCTGTTTGATGGCCTTATCTTAGTTGTCAATCCTCACACACATTAGAAAGTTAGTAGACATTTTGAACTGTGTAAGTCTTTTGCACAATGGTCATTGGTTAACTGCCATCTCACTATACCTCTCTCTCACACCGTATTAATCTTGATGTATCTTAACTGGAATTAAATTATTTTTCGTTTCTTGTGGGGTTTCTGTCTATTAAGAATTTAGGATACATTAACTAGGCAATCACGTTTCCTCTCTAACAGATGCATGATTATATGATCATACAGTTCTAATCTGAAGGCGAACATATGATATAGTAGTTGGGCTGGATTATTATTATGATTATACATGACTACATATATGACTGTATATGACTATATGTATCTGCATACAATTCTATGCAGATTTTATTCTATTCTGTTGCCGTTTCGATTTCGATTTACATTAATTTGCTCTGTACATACAATTCTCATATCTGGTGTTCTATCAAACTAGTATTTTTCTTTGTTACTTGTTATTTGATAATTCATTTTTATTTATTCATTTAATATTTGCATCAGATTATTAGAAAATTAATGAGGATTTTGCAGAGGAAAATATTTTCTGAGTGATGATTGAACGATTTGATTTTATCGATTTTGTGTACTACTTTTTGAAGTTGGATTTTCATCTTGGCCCCTTCTCTATTTGGTGCTGCAATTGTTTAAGGATTTGAAAAAATTAATTAATTAATTAATTAATTAATTGATTGATGGTTCTGTTCATAAAATCTGACCCCCAATAGCCGGAAATTCATCCCTACGAGTATTCGTGAAATCAGACCCCCAATGATCGGCACCTTCTCCTTCTTTTCCTCCTCCGCCCTTTCGACTTTCTCCTTAGTCATAATCCCAACATCCTCTGACGCCTTTGTGACGGCGCTCAGCGCGCTCGTCACCCACGAGGCCCCGGTCGACACGTAGCGGTTGCTCATGATGCTGTTGGCCTTCTGCTCGGCGGTGGCGAACGCCGATTTGGTGATTTCCAACAATTGGAGGAGCTCATCCATTTCCTTGACCTTCTCGTTGACCAAGGCGGTCCCCATGCTGAGCTTCTCACTCAGCCCTATCTTGTGGTCGATGGAAGCCACGGTGGCGGAGGCGTTCGACGACAGGTGGTGCTTGTCGTCGAACGACTTGGCCCTGTTGAGGGCGTCTTTTCCCAATACGAACCCCTTTGCCAGCATTTTGCTCACCACTTCCTCGGTTTTCTTACTGTTGTCCCTGTCATAGTTGCCTTTGGCTACTTTCAAACTGTTTTTTATACTTCGTAGCGCAATCTGCTTTGTGCTCTCCCCTTCACAGCTTTCCATTCAAAATACTTTTATGGACATTAATTTTAATCTTTTGGTTAATTCTTTGAACACTTGGCTTCTTTTCTGTACATTTAAAATTGTCTGCTATTTTCTTGTTTTTCTTTTTTAATAATATATAATGTATGCCTTGAGCAGCATTTGGCACAGACAATCAAGAAAAGCAGAGGAAAGCAAACGAAGCATAATTGATTACCTTAAACTGCTGGCACGGTAAGTAATAATTTTCTTTTTCAACCGCATTGTTCTATTCACCATTTTATATAGATTAATTTGTGAACTTTTTTGGTGGTGTAGATAAATTTTATATATATACATATATAGTCACATGTGGTCATGTACACGTTGTCATATATAGTCACATGTAGTAACAAGAATGAACACAAGTACATGTGACTATATTTGACTACATATAGTCATATATAGTCATATGTAGTAACAAAAAGACATAACTACATGTGACTATAGTTCACCAAAGTAAATTTATCAATAAACTGTTTTTCATTGTTTTTTTGTATTTTTCATGTAATGTAATTCGAAATTTGCAGGTATTTTTTGAGTTCACCAAAGTATTTTTTGTACAGCCATCATCGAATTTTGCAGTTATTTTTTGAGTTTTGATTTTATTTTTTTTATTTTTATTTTGTTGTGAAGCTGTGAGTTTAATTTTAGGAGTCGACTTGTACATAAAACGCAATTATTGTGGCAAGAAATATAATAAAAAAAACTCGAAACTTGTTACTAGTGGTGGTGCGACAAAACTGATTGTTCATCCATTGAAGGCATAGAAAAGGTAATGAATTTTAATGTGCTTCTTAATATATTGAATCACTGTTTATTGGTCCTCAAATGATTTGTTTACTTTTTTATACTTTGGAGTATATGTAGATTCGTGATGAGAATATTTTGTTGGTAATATGATATTGATATTTTATTTATCGAGAATGAAATAGGTGACTACTTTACGTGTGTTTCAACTATTATTTTATTTATGGTGTTCCACTTCAACTTGCTTTGATCTTTGTCCTTTGGTTATACGAAGAATAATGACTAGCATTCTCTATTTGTAATTTGATTTTGATAATATAAGCTGTCTCGTATTGCCTGGAGAACAAAGTCAAGTACTTGAAAGGCAAATAAAGTCACATACATGTATATAGTCACATGTGGTCATATACATGTAGTCATATATAGTCATGTGTAGTAACATACAGTAATATATGATGTAGTTACATATAGTAATATATTGTCACGTGTAGTAACGTACAGTAATATATGGTGTAGTCACATGTAGTAATATATAGTTATATATAAACTATGTAGTCATGTATGAGTTATGTGGGGAGTATCTATGTATACCAGTAGGTGAGAGTGCGTGTGCGCACATTTAAATTTGAAGCAAAATTCGTTGTTTGTTTAACTCTTTTTATTTTTCACATGTCTTGGTGTTTGAACTACTATGTAGTAAGTTTTTTCACTGGTCTTGGTGTTTAAACTACTATGTAGTAAGTTTTTGCGGAGTGGATTGTGTTCGTTGTTCAAAACAAGCGGTTCTCGTGTTGACAAGTGAATTTGAGGCAAATTTAGTCGTATAGATAACTGTAGTCATGTATAGTTCCATGTAGTTATATATATTTGTATACAAGCTATGTGGTTTTATCTTGATGATTGTGTTTTTTTTACCTTGATTGTTAGGCATTAAATTATTTATAATACCAAGAATCAAATTTTGAATTTTTTTATTAGTATAGATGATTTTTTATATATGTAATCAACGGTTTTTATAATCGACCGACCATAACTTTGGGGTAAAAAACAGTATATGGCTACATATAACTATACATGACTGTGGTATACTATAGTCATGGGTAGTCAATTTCAGTACAGTAAATTAAAAAAAAAAAACATTAAAAAATTAAGAATTAAAAAAAAACTAAAAAAATTAAAATAAATAAATTAAAAAAATTAAAAATTAAAAATTAAAAATAATTAAAAAATTAAAAATTAAAAAAATTAAAAAAATACAAAAAGAGGGTACGCATAAAAAAATAATAATAAAATAAAAATTTATAAATTTTTATTAAAAAATCTGAAAAAATGATAAATGCAGGTCTAAAAGTGTGGAGTGCAGTTAGCTATAATGCTGAATGCAGTTGGAAAAGCTGAATGCAGTTGGTTAAAATTTACAAATACGGGCACAAAAGTACTTTTGCCTCTCGAGGGGTGTATCTCAAAGAAAAAATTTTAGGGGTGGACTTATCCCTAAATATTTTCCATTCTAGAGGTGTATATCAAATGGCCCCAATAAACAATTACCACCCTCTTGTTTACAAAATTACAATTATCCCCCTCTTGTTTAGGAAATTGCAATTATATCCTAATATATTTCTTTTGTCTAATTACAACCTAGCCCATAGAAATTTTAACAATCACTTGTGTTTATGTTTATTTTTTCGTTAAAATAAACATTAAAAAATGTCCTTATAAATAAATGGCTACAACCATACGTAAAGGAATTAAACTGCGAGCAAGTCTTTTGTGACGAGTTTGACCTATAAATTATGGAGAAAGGGAATCGAACTTAAATTTGTTAGAGGTCGCACTTTTTTTACTGTATCAATTAGGTGATCATTGTATCACATATTAACGTCAGGAAAATTAATTTTTACTTGCCTTAAAAAAGAATTAGTTTTTACTAAAATAAGTTGTATATATAATAAGATAAATAATCTATATAAATGTAGAATTTGAATTTTTTTTAACAAAAATAGAAGAAATATTAAGAGTTTGAATTATTTTTTGATATGTAAGTTATTTAAAAAAATAAATAAATAAATAAATAATAATAATAATAATAATAATAATAATAATAATAATAATAATAATAATAATAATAATAATAATAATAATAATAATAATAATAATAATAATAATAATAATAATAATAATAATAATAATAATAATAATAATAATAATAATAATAATAATAATAATAATAATAATAATAATAATAGTAGTAATAATAGTAGTAATAATAATAATAATAATAATAATAATAATAATAATAATAATAATAATAATAATAATAATAATAATAATAATAATAATAATAATAATAATAATAATAATAATAATAATAATAATAATAATAATAATAATAGTAGTAATAATAGTAGTAATAATAATAATAATAATAATAATAATAATAATAATAATAATAATAATAATAATAATAATAATAATAATAATAATAATAATAATAATAATAATAATAATAATAATAATAATAATAATAATAATAATAATAATAATAAAAATAATAATAATAATAATAATAATAATAATAATAATAATAATAATAATAATAATGATTATAATAATAATAATGATAATAATAATAATAATAATAATAATAATAATAATAATAATAATAATAATTATAATATCATA